AGGTCTCATTACCTCTGCCTAATACATTTGATTCTTTAATGACTTCCCATTACCCTGGCAATGTATATAGTTTATACAAAATCAAGCTCCTTCCTACCTGCTTGGTTTTATCTCTGATACGGCCCCTTGTGGTGCTCAGTACAGGCCCCATCTTTAACATTTAATGTCTCTGCATGTATTTCCTCCTGCCTAGAAACCTATCTTCCTTTGCATGACTTATCCTTCAAGACTCAGGTCAGACATCAGCTGCTTTGTTCCCAAGGGATAGATGTCATACCTTCTGTTTCCTTAGCACCATGATTATAACACTTATTACATTATGGAAATAATTTTGCTCAACATTTGTTTCAACCACTAGTCTGTGATCCTTTCAAGGGCAGGGAACATGTTTTATTCAGTTTTGTGTTTCTCACCTGTAGTACAGTTTTAAGCACACAGTGAGCCCTTCTTAAAGGCTTGCTGACTTTGTTAATGAGCACTTGAGTTTTAGTAGTAATGAAACATCACCCTTCCAGCAGCAGTCAGTCAAGTCCTAAAGTGTGATGCAGGGCAGTCTTCAGATACATCATCCTTGGTTCAGTATGGATAAGTATCAGTTTCAGAATCACAATTGTTCCTGGCATGAAGTTTGAGGCAGGCTCAGTGATGCTGCAGAGAACGTGTCATTTCTTTGTGCCTTTTTCTATGTATGTAAAGTAAGGGTGTGTGACTGAGCATCAGCAGACCTAGATGTTATTTCTAAGTGACTTTTACCTCTCTCCCTGTGTTCCTTTCCTTCTATATAAAATTGGAAGGAGTTTCAGTTTCATTCTAAAACCATTTATTCAGTGTAGTCTGTCCCAGGGGCTGGAGAATTAAAGACAGATAAGAAATGGTTCCTGTTCTCCAGGTGTATGTATCGGGTAGGATTGCCTTTAAGATCTGGTAGACTTATTCCAACTCTGACTATCAGTGATGCATTTATCTTTCCCTTCCTTAGGGCACATTTGGGAAGAGAGCTAATAACTTGAATTTTAGTCTGTGGGAAACATACACCCATAGTGCTTTGTTCCTTTGGCCAGGAAGTAAATCTGAGGCCTGACTGTTGCCACTTCTGCTCAGTGAGGTGACTGCATTTGCTTCCTAAAGCCAACAATGCTTTGGAAACCACTTTGCACACTGGACTTCATCGTCAGTCCCTGGAAGCAGTAACTGCGTTTGAAAGCCTGAGCTGCTTTGAACCTTTAAAAGTGGTTTGAACATTTAATCCTCCAGACCTGCTCTCCCTCCTCTTTTTTTTCCCCCTTCTTTTACCTCTTCACCTTTTCTCCTTCATTGAGACTCCTGCTAGGAAGTGCTAAGTGGTAGTATACTTAGAAGTTTCTCTTGAAGCAGTTATAAGAAAAGAGTTTGATATTTCTTGTTAAAACATTTTAAGAGGTAGGTTTTATGTTAAATTAGTAGTTAGCCCATTACTTTTTGCTCTTTTAAAACATTCCCCCCCCCCATACAAATGGCATGCTAATCTCTATGCCATTTCTATTCATGAAGAAAAAACATTTGCACACTGCTCACTCATCCATGAATGCAGTTTATAGTTAAACCACGTAATGCCTGGTGGTACTGTGTTGACAGGCACAGAATAAATAGTACAGATTTTGTTTCCTGAAGACTGATCACTTATAGATCAGTTGATAATTTTTTTTCCAGATTGCTTCTTACACTGATGATGAGAATTTTTTTACTTTTGTAGAAAGCTATGGATTTCAATAAACCTCTGTCAGGACTGCAGACCTACCTACTCAATATCACTTTTTATCTTGAACATCTTTTCCAGAAGAGAGAGGAACTGATATTTGCTCCTATTCTTAAAAGTAATGTTGCTGAAAATAGTAGGGGTGGGGCTAGGATTTTGAGAGAATGGGCTTATGGGTGACAACATGTTAATACAACAATATGTTGGCCTTGCAAATTTTTAGGAAAACAGACTTTTTATGCCTATTTAATTTGTGTTTCAATATTACTTTTTCAATGAGTACTTTCATCAGCTTCCTTTTTATGTTTAAAAAGTATAGTGCTGCTTTTGTTATCAAGCATCCTAGTTTCCTCTGTCCACACCCTGTCCTACTACTTTTGTTTTTGATGTTTTGTGAAATGTAAAGTGTAAGTTGCCTTTGATAAGACTTGTCAACCTTTCTGATTTTATGGTCGATGATAAATTACTTCTCACCAAGATTTAAAAGAGTATAGTATAAAGTTATTAGGCATGATGCTCTTTACATTCTTCTTTGTTTTATAGAGAATTAGTTTATATGTAATAGACATGAGTGAATATAAATTTTACTTTAATGATTCATATTTGTCAATGTAGAAGAGAGGTATCTAGTGGGCCCAGAAATGGTTGATTTGAGAACTTCTGTAGACCCCAATATTCTAGTCATAGTTGTTATATTAGTGGTGAAAAAATTTTAAAAATATCTGTGTTCTATTAATTATTAACACCAAAAGGTGTATCTTGATTTACCTGAATTGATATGCTTCTTAAATTTTATTTATTTATTTTTATTTTGTATTTATTTTTTTAAAATATATCTATTGATTTCAGAGAGAGGAGAGGAGAGGGAGAGAGAGAGAGACAGAAACATCAATGATGAGAGAGTCATTGATCGGCTGCAGCCCGCAACCCGGGCATGTGCCCTGACCGGGGATTGAACCCTGATCGCCTGGATCCTAGGTCGATGCTTAACCGCTGAGCCACGCCCGACTGGACTTCCAGATATGCATATTAAATGCAACAAAGTCTTTTTGTTAACATAATTTTAAATTTGTGTATTTTGGTATAAGGCAGTTTTAGGAATAGTAATTTCATTGTCCACAATGATTGAAGATGATATTAGTATGAATTATCCTAAACCATTTGTATCAGCTTTAGAATATCTTTATGGATATACTTTCGAATATCGAGATTGTTGAAAATATACTTCAGACAAAACACTGAAGTCCCACTGTGGGTACTAACACAGGAGGGCCTGGTGTCCTCACATCTCAGTGTTAGACAAGAAAAACTCTCAATTCCTTCTTATGTGTTTGGTTTTGAGCTTCCCTGCTGCATGTGAAATAAGAATAAATACAGAATAGGAGTCAAGAAGGCAAATAGTTAAGTGAATGCTGTAGGGGTTTTCATGAAACATGAAAGCAGCAACTGAAATGCCTACAGGTGATGGCTGCTGCTGGTAGCGCAGAGTAAACTTCACTTTTGAAGTAGCATTCTGGTTTGAAACACCAACTTCTATTTAACTTTTTTTGTCCTCTTAACTATGATAATGATCTTCAGTCTTCTTTTACAGTGGAGTATCTTTACTGTTTAACTGCATTCTTGAATTAGTTATTCTATGGTTTTCACAGAGAAGAGATGGATAAAAATAATCTGACAAGAGTCTGCCAATCTAAATTGTAAATTGCTATTTTTTTGGTGGATGGTAAAATCAGAAATTCTGAGTACTAATCGGTGGTTAAACTGTGTTCATAGAAGCATACAAATGAAGGTGAATTTTTAAACAATTTTTATTGTATAAAATGTTGCATTTGGTTTTTACCCTTATTTTCATGGGATATGTTATATTTTCATAAGAAAATGGTATTATATCCTGGTATATGATTTAAACTTGTTTTTATTCTTTATAATGTGCTGCTTTTGATTATTGGATGAAATTTGGTTTTTAACATTCCATTTTTCAAAGGCTGCATACATAGACAAAAAATCATACGTACAAGCAAATATATATGTATACAAACACATATATACAAAGAAAAATACGTATTTTTTTTTTTCTTTCCTCCACATTTTTGAAGACAAATTGTTACCATTTTATTTATTGACTTAGGCTTTCTAAATCACCACTGGAAAAAATGTACTTCTACATTTTTCTATAATCAAGGTGAGCTGTTGTCTATTGGAAGTAATTTTTCAATTACATACAGTACTGCGACTATATAAGTTTATAGAATAGAGGTAGAGACAGTTTGGTCAGGATGAAAATACTCATTTAAAAATAAGGAAGTTTTTTTCAAAAACCAATTGAACTTTGAAACTAAGGAAATTCTTAACACTTATAAGGATGCACATCACTAGCGTGTCCCAATTTTGCTCCTTCTATCACAGCTAAGACTGAATCATGGATGATTTTGTACAAGGTGTTATTTTTATGTTATATTTATGATTAGAATATAACAAATATAATTTATGATTAGAATATTTGTGATGGTGTTATTGTGATATTCCGCACTTAGAATACTGACCTAATATTCCTGTTTCTCAGTTGGGTGGAAAGTTTCGGACATGAGGGGCTTGGATTATTACTGGACATTTTGGAAAAACTGATTAGTAGCAAAACGTAAGTATTGCCAGTTATTTTCACTTAAGCTACATTTGCAAGTCCAATTATCATTCTAACACTGATACCTTTTATGCCCATACAGAAAAGAAACCACTGTAAAGAAGAATCAGCACAAAATCATCCAGTGTCTGAAGGCTCTGATGAACACACAGGCACGTACATGATTAATCACGTTGTATTCCTTCTTCACCAGTTCTTCCAGAATCCTTAAGAACTAGAGTTGTGTAATAAAAAATTTACACTTAAGTGATGTGTTGCTTTAATATGCTGTTTAGTACATGATAGAAAATGTACTGAATTGTATGACTTCTAGTTTTGTATAAAAACAACCATCTCCCAGCAGAGAAACTTGGGGATGAATGGACCTTTTTCTGGTGCTTAACTCATGTGTAGATTAATTCTCTCTCCTTCCTTTCCTCCCTCCCCACACCCTTCCTCTCTCTCTCTCTTTTAATTTTCAAAACTATAGTATGAATAAGCTTTGAAATCATATGTGATTATTCAATGTAGTCTACAGTAATATTTATTACCAAAGAACCAAGTTGGAAAGGCTTAATTTTTATAGTTTATGAATTTATAATGCAGTTAATAAAAACAGATATAACAGGTCCCAGAAATGGAGCAGTGATGCTTAGTAGTACAAGTACTATTGAGACCAAATGTAGTACGACGAGTCTGTAGAGTTGATATATTTAAAGAGGATACATTAGAAGAGAGAACACTTGAAGCTCTTTACTGAAGTTAGATTTTCTGAACAACATTTCTTTTACTGTTAATTGAAGAAATTTCTCTATCCCATGCCATGTCTTTCGCTCTAGTATCTAAACACATCTACCTCAGGATGTGTGAGTAATGATAGGGGTTTTAGTTGCTGTTAGTTGACAGGAGAAGAAATTGTACTTACAGTGGTGTTATGATTTGTGTTTTATAGCCAAACTCTCTATGTTTCTGATTAATTTTATTTTTAATATTTTGCTTTATTCTTATTTTTAGAATAAGCCTTTAGAAGACTCTATGCTTAAGTACTGATATTTAAATGATTAACATTTATTTTATATATATATATTTTACTAAATGTAGCGAATATTTATGTTTTCTAATTATGTTCATCTTACTGAATTGTTTATGTATTTTTCAGCATTTTCTGGAGCTAGGTTTTCTATTTTTAGCCAATCAAATATTTTTCTCTTTGCCTCCCTCCTCTAATTAGGTAAGATCAAGGAAAATATCTGATGTAGAAATCACAAGACCTTGTATTGTCCTGTGAGAAGTAGGTTTTAGATATTTTGTAGACTATAAGAATAAATGAATAAAGGAATCAGAAACTGCTGATAGAGAAAGGTCTTTTCTCACTGTGTACACACAGCACTGCTTTAGGAGGCTCCTTTTAAAATGAAAATACAGAAAAATTGAAGGTTTCACTAGACCTGGAAAATCTGAGAGTAGAGAAACCCAGAAACAGTTTTTCAAACCAAAGGGGCAGGTGGATCATAATTTGAATTTGGGAAGAATATCATGGTTAAAGTGAGATGGCAGATTGAAGATAATATTCCTACTTAGTGTGAGACTATGAATTGGAGAGGGAGTGAACTTTTCATTTATATTCTAATTAATTTAAGGTAACTTCTTATAATAACATTGTGTTGCTTATAGTTGGTATATGTGGAGCTGAAATATATTGTTATTTTTATTTATGGATGTCACCTGTGGTAATAAGAATGAAAAGTTAAGTTACTGATACTTGGAATTAGTATTACATCCTGTTTGAAATTTTTGGTAGAACTTTTTATTTTTTTCCCCCAAGACCTGTTGGTGATACCTCACTGTGCAGTCTTTATAAGAAGTCACTGAGTGATGAATAGTATAGGCTTTAGGGGAAGAAAGTGTGGTATCTTATTTTGTACCAGTAATTATTTATATAATTAAGCAGCAAATTTGATAACATCATAGGAAAGTGAATTTTTTATAACACTAAATTGGACTTATATTTTTAAATGGAAAAGATTATGAATATTAGGAAGAAAATAAAAGGATGAAAAATTAATTTATTTAAATTAAAAGGTAATTAGAGGAAGGGCTTCCTTTTGGTCAGTTAAATTTTTGTGTGTGGCTTTGAGTCGTACATCCCCAACAAGGGTGCTTTGCTCCTGGAGCCAGCCCCTCTCTGCCCAGTGTCTCTCTTGCTGGAATTAGCTCACTGGTGTGTGGGTGGGGGTTGGTGGTGGGGGAGTTGTTCAGCACCAGTATGCATGTAGTGCTGGGCATCCTGGACAAGGGATGCTGACCTTCCCCTACCCAATGCTTCTTCATTGCCCCGAAATTCCATCTGTTAGCTAATAATAGGCCTCGTGTAGAATGTAAATGGAACCTGGCATTGGTCCTCAGTTTAGAACCACATGAGTTTTCATATAATCCAGAGTGGGTCTTTCACACTCAGTGGAGAGACATCCTTAGGTCTTCCAAAATTTGTCACCACCTCTCTAACCTTATAATAGCCTTCATTTAATGTCCTTTACATGCCAGCACTGGTAAGTTGACTATTTCTCTTACAGAGTCAACATTTTTTGTTTTGCTTTGCTTTGCTTTGCTTTGTGTTTTAAATAATTGAATGAGAGTAATTTTACACAAGTAGGCAGCAGTTTTGTCTTTCGTTCTCAATACCGAGTAGTGACAGTCTGGCCTCATTCCAGACTTAAAATGCTGACTACACATTTTTACATTAGCAAAATCAGAGAATACTGCCTATGATGGAGCTTTGGTTATAGGATGATGGTCACAACTGTGAGATCAGAGAATGCTCCTCTTCTACCCTTCATACATGATGGTTTAGGGCTTGAAGGTAGTGTGACTTGGAGGAAATCAGTATAAAAATTCCTTGAGTGGCTGGAGGAGCCACAGGATTCTCTTTCCAGAAGGACAGGCACTGACTAAGGATGGCCAGGTAGGTGGGAAATGAGGGGGAAATGCTGGAGGCAAGCTTTTCTCAGTCCTCAGGTTTTTTATGACAGAGCCAGTCCCATGGTGCTTGGTAATCCTTGACTGATTGACTTTTTGAATTGGATCTAAGTGGTACTTTATAAGCCTCTGACAATTCTCTGGAATGATTATTAAGGCATATTGTAGTCTCTGGCCCTGTGTCTGCTTTTTTATTTTTTGTTTGAAGGTATGAAGTAGCCCAGGGCATCACAAAAGTGAGCATTTCCTAGACAGTTTAATTCTCTCTGTAAACTTTTCCCTACCATCAACAAGACAGAGATTTCCCGAAATCATATTCTTGTACTTTGATCCTTCTGTTTGTCCTTTCTCCTTTGTACTTGTGTTCCCTAGATAGTAGGCTAAAGCAAATGCAGTATTTCAGCACAGTGTGAAGACTTCTTCATATAAATGACATTTATAGTAGGAAAGTCATAACTAAAATTTCATAACACTCAAAACATTTGGGTCTAAGCTTGTTGTAGATTCAAACTTTGATACTTATATCTAGTGCTAATTTTGAGTATAAGCAATAGTTCATAGGTTTATGATTGGGATAAGGCCCTTTTTAATTCTTAGGAGTAATTGTAATCAACCAATTTCTCACTCTTGAGAGGATGCATGGTAGATAGTGTTTTATTGATTCTCTTCATTCTTTGTTATGTGATACTTGTCTTCCATGGATTGTAAAGGGGCCTTAAGAGATGTACACATCCTTAAAACACTAAGTCATTAACATAACTTCTTACCTTCCAATTGGGTGTGACGTCCTGGGAGTAGCGAACAAACTTTGCCCTTAGCTCAGATCGTCCTGTTTTTATACCATGTTTACAGCTGCAGTCTTTCTGATGGTACGTTATTATTTTGATTGGACTGCATATGCTTCTTATTGTAGTTTCTATATGGTATGTGCCCAAATCAACCTTCAGCTTTCGGCCGTTTATGAACTAGGTGTTACTCTCTGGGCTTACCCTGTAGAATGTGGTTGCTATAGGTATGTGGCTCTTCGGCATTTGAAATGTGGCTAGTCTGAGTTAAGATGTGCTGTACACACTAGACTTTGACTACTCAGGAAAGAAAGTAAAATGTCTCAACAGTGAATGTTTTATTTTGATTATATGTTGAAGTGATAATATTTTTGGATATATTGAAATAGTTCTGTTAAAATTAGTTTTACTTTTTGCTTGTAAATTTCACATTGCACATGCAGTTCACAGTATATTTCTCTGGGATGGTGTGCATGTACTTGTGGTGCTATATCTCTTACCAGTCTTCCTTCTCAGGAAGGATCCTTATGTCCTTAATGTCTACTTCAGTATCTGACTCTTCATTTTGTATGTTTCTGTTGGGAAATCTTGGTGTTTTAAACTGTTTCTCTCTTTCTCCAGTTGGCCACTTCTCTATGTTAGTAATTATCAGTAGTGTTGTAAAATCACCTTTGAGTGGTTTTTTGTATTTGGTTGATTCTCATAGTTCTTGATGTAAAGTGTTTATTTATATGAATTGTTTTAGGATGTTATACATTATTTAGTATATACATTCTTTACTAAGTGTAAAAATATAGACCTTTTTTTAATAACTACATTTAAAAAAATAACTACATAACTACTATTTTTTGAAACTGTTAATGTTTAACCTCTTCTTTCCAAAACGGTACAGTATGGCCTGGAAAGAATTATGAGTGAAGAGCGAAGTCTTTCTTTACTGGCCAAAGCCATCGATCCTGAGCATCCCAGTATGATGACAGACGTGGTTAAACTCCTCTCTGCAGTGTGCATTGTAGGGGAGGAGAGCATGTGAGTCTTCTCAACTTATTTCTCTCATTATGCAATGATTTAATACACTGTGATTTATTTAATGTTTTCATTATTCTATTTTAGACTAGAATTTAAGTAAATGAAGTATACTTAAGCAACTGATTTAGATTTATATAGGCTGTGAAAAAATGACTTCTTCATCTTATTTATTTTAAACTGTTCTGAACTCAAACCCTAAATAAAAATTCTAAGTGAAGACTTTGGAAAATATACTAATGAATTCTGCTTTGTATGTGATTTTTTTTTTCCAGATAGAATTCAAAGTGTAGGTCATATATATTCCTTTATAAGTCTGTATGTAAGGCAGGTTTAGAAAGTGACAGATGGAATTGTATTTTACTGGTTGAGGATGCACAGTTCTTGACCATAGAATATATGCTGAAGCTTTTAAATGCATTATTCACATGTTAGGACTGTAACTAAAAGACCATTACATACATATTAAAAGATAATTACAAAGATGAACTTTTTTAAAAAGAAGATTGGTGTTTCTTATTACAAGGAAGCATTTAAAAATTATTAATTTTTTAATTTTTTTTTTTTAAGGAATAAACATATAAAAACCAAACAACCGAAAGAACAAACAAAAATAGCCCTCTCATTTAAGGGTAGTCAGAGCCCTGTAAGTGGAACCTCCTGAACATATTTGAAAATTGTCTTTGTAGTGATCCTGCTGGGACTAGTGATTATTGAACCACTCAATTTGGACCTAGTTGGAGAGTCACAAGCAGCACTCAGCCTTGTCCCTCTGCCCCAGATGCAACTATATAGAGATCTATGAATGAGGCTGTTCTTGCTGCAGTCCTAGCAGGCAGAACCAGACATATAGCCTCAGCACTTTCCATTTGCCATTTCAAAAAGCCCATATTAATTTTGGTGTAGAAACCTAAGAGTGAACTTAATGTTGTTGTTTTTTAAAATTTATTGGGCTGACAACGGTTAATAAAATAACTATTCTATAACATATCATCTGTACATTGCATTGTGTGTTCACCGGCCCAAGTCAAGTTTCCTTCCAGAGTTAATTTAATGTTGACATGTAAGATACTTCTTGTGCTCCCTCTCTGCCTTTTTTTCTCTCCCTTTTCCTCCACCTGCGTCTTCCTCCTTCCTTTGCTTCCCTCCTTCCTCTTTCTCTCACACTTCCTTTATTATTTTTTATATTAGACTATAATTTCTTACTACTATATATTTTTGGCTACCAGAACTTAACTTATATTTGATAGGAAGTAGAGTGTAGTGGTTGAAAGCATTTATATGGTGCTTACTACTCAGACTCTCTGGTTTTAGTTCCTTGCTCTACCATTTAGTAGATGTGAAACAAATTGCTTAACCTTTTCTGCCTCAGTTGCCTAACCTGTAATAATGGGATAATGATAGCACCTACCCAAAAGAATTATATATGTTAAAATGCATTGTGTATTAAGTACTATATACATGCTTGATAAATAAACATCATCATAGGGTTATTATGAGGATTAAATGGACCAAAATGTGTAACATGCTTAGAGCAGTGCCTGTACATGCTACGTAAACTGCTGATACGTACTGAGTAAGCTACTTTTAAAATATTATTGGTTGCCCGGAAGTAGTGATTTCAGAGTTTATTAAATCAAGCAATTGAATTATGGCATTTGGGTTATTTGCTGATTGCAATTTAATTATTAAAACCAAAATTTCCACTAGCCTTGAAGAAGTTTTAGAAGCTTTAACATCAGCTGGAGAAGAAAGAAGAATCGACAGGTTTTCTTCTATTGTGGAAGGTCTTCGGCACAATTCAGCGCAACTGCAAGTAGGTTTCATGTGTATCATACACATTGTTTTGTAACTGTTTTCTGACTGGTTTATATTTAACACTATATCCTGCATGCCATTTACTATTTTATAGCATTTTTAAGAAGTGTGTAGAATTCTAATTTATTCTATATCATAATTTATCTTATAGATGCAACTTGGTATATACCTGCAATTATTTCCATAGGTTACTTTCTTAGAAGTTGACTTACTGGGTTTCTCTGTAAATTGTGTAATTATAATCCCACAAAGTGTTTATTTGTTGTTCTCAAAAGTTTATTATTATAATTTTAAAGAAATTCTGGCAATTTCTCATTCTGGCTCCTCATTGTATTAGTTTTTATATCTGATATATGCTTTTTGTATCTAATCACATACACGTTATCGAAGTGGGAGATGTAGTGTCTTGTCATGGGAACAGACCGGAGTTAGGCAGGCTCTTCACATCTTAGCTGTGTGACTCTGGATCACTTTCTAAGCCTCTTCTATAGCTCAGCTTTCTCAGTTGTAAGATGGAGATAATATCAATACCTAGCTCATTGTTGATGCAAGGATTACATAGGATAATGTATTTAAAATACTTAGTGTAGTGCTTGGTCCTTTAGCAGAATTGTTGAGTAAAAGCCAGCTTTAAAAAGTAATTTTGTTAAATTAAACAAAGTCAGTGGAGAGTGGAGATTGAAAGGGATCTTCATTTTTATTTTATTTTTTTCCAGGAACATTACCAGTGTTGATGTTAGAATTGGTATTTAATTATACAACTGAACAGTTACACTCTTAAACCTTTATCCCAGATTAATGAAAAATTATGTTTTCACAAAAACCCATACACAAATTTTTCGGGCAGTGTATTTTTCATAGACCCAAACTGGAAACAACCTGATGCCCTTGAACAGGTGAATGGTTAAACTGGTGCAGCCATTCCATAGAATACCACTCAGCCACAAAAAGTAGTGAACCCTTGATACATCCAACTTGCATAATCTCCAAAGAATTATCCTGATTGAAAATGCCAATTCTAAAAGGTTACACATTGTATGATTCCTTTTATATAACATTCTTCAAATAACCAAATTATAGAGATGGAGACAGTTTAGTGGTTGCCAAAGGTTAGAGATGGGGTCTGTAAAGGTGTTGAGTGTGACCATAAATAAATAGCAGGAGGGAGTCTTATGTGATTGAAACAGTTGTGTGTCTTGATTGTGGTGATGGTTATATAAATCTTTACACGTGATAAAATTTCATAGAACTGGATATGTACACACGTAAAGCTGGTACAATCTGAATAAGCTCTGTGATTTGTACCAATTTCAATTTTCTGGTTTTGGTATTGAATTATAATGCAATATGTTACCAAGACTTGAAGAAATTTAAAATATATATGTCTAGAGACTTGATACGGTTTTGAAGTGATTTCTTTTTTTCCAGTATCTTTATTCAGGTGAAATGCACATTATATAATTTGCCTACATTGAAGTATATAGTTCTGTTTATTTGCAGAGTTGTGCAACCTTTGTCACGATTTTAGAACATTTTCATCACCCCAAAAGAAATTCCTCATCCCTTTGCCATCACCATGCGTTACCCCTGTTCTCCCAGCTCTTGGCAACCATTAGTCTGTTATCTCTATAGATTTTCATATTCTGGATATGTGTTATAAATGAAATCATATAATTCCTGGTTGTTTGTAACTGGCTTCATGTTCAAACATGTATCAGAACTTTGCTTTTTTATTGCAAATAATATTCTATTGTGTGGATGTGTACTACATTTTGCCATCATTTGTCACTTGGACATTTGGGTTGTTTCTACTTTTTAGCTTATGAAAAATTATGTTTTAGCAGTTATGGATATTTATGGAGATGATTTCTTTCTAATGACTGCTTATTTGCCATATTTAGTGTAAAGGGGATAAGGGTGGTGAGGAATGGGGCTAGCCCCAACAACTTCCTTTAATAGCTGTAGAAGTTATGAATTTGATTCAGTTTTTGAGAAATTTTTACCAAAATATAGGAGGCTTGTTCTGTTTGTTTTAATGAAACTAATTGCCTTAGTTGTGAGTAATTATATTTTCTTTTATGGTTAGTAGTGTTCTTATTTTTTAAATTCCCTATAAACACTAAAATACATTTCTTGATATTGTTCTTAGAGTTTAATTTTCATTGAAAAATGAAAGGTCATTGTAGCATCACTTAAATTCATTTCTTTCTCAGTTTTTGCATAAGTTCAGGTTAATTTTGCATCCTCTTAAGAATATAGACAATGGAAACAATTGTTAATTCTTACTTTCCCTACCATTTTTACTCTTTTATTGAGGTTTCTTATTATTATGAAGCCTAATGTGTTGAATAGCTAGGAGGTGGGAAGCTTAAGTTAAAAGAGGTCCCATTTTCTAGATAGCTAACTTGGGAGGGGCAGGAAAAGTAAGTAGATCCTGTTTTCTGGGATTGCTGATTTTGCTCTATCATGTTTAAAATGATCAAGCAGCACTTTAGTAATATCTAAAAATAATTTCCTTTTTGGTGCTTCTGAATTTTCTACAAAATAAAGTATATTTTAAAACAAGCTGGTTATCAATTTTCCCATAAAGCTATTGCTTTAAGTGCCCATTTTACTCTATTAGTTCTGTAATTTGCATTTATTAAAATGTACTAGTTTAAGTGATATTAGCAGATCACCAAATTAAAAATAAAAGTTGTCACTGAATAAAATACATCCCAATTGTTTGCTTTTAAATGGGAGGAAATGGGTGGTAGTAAAATAAAAAAGTATTGTTCCTTTCTTGCAAACTATGTTTATGACAAAGTACTTTTTAAAGGAGGATTATTAGATTTTCTTGAGTCTGATAATAATGAAGATAATTTGACTGCCTATCATTCTGATAGAATGAACATACTTCTGCCCTGCACTATTCCCCTCCCCGACAACAGTATAGAAAACAAATGAAAAATTGAGTACAAGAAATAACTCAAAATTATTTTTAGGCCTTAGAGAGTCATATTATCAGGAAAGAAGTACAAATACAAATATACACATTGGAGTTAAAATAAATGTACATCATTCTTCTTTTGAGTGTATCAGATAAGGTTTTCAGCCTCAAGCAACACAATCTACTCTAGGTAATGTAAGCAGAGAATGGTACTGGCTGCCTCAGGCTCAGGGAACCATGTAGGGTGGCATATAACCAGAGCAATGCAGAAGAAGAAATGCCAGACCACACCTAGGGATGTTCTAATGGAAACACCATTTACAACATTCTACCCTGGTTAGCACCCGAGACACCAAGGACAGGCAGTAGAGCGCCCTACCTTCCTTTACAGGGTCCTGTCTTCGTATATGTCATTGTCCGTGCAGCTTGGCCAGGTCTTTTTTAGTAGAAAAGGGTTGGCGTAAGTGTGGATAAACCAATCTCTGATTGCTGCTACACTTTGATTTTTATCTGTTATTTTCATTTTTCTCCTCTTTTCTCTCTCTCTCTCTCTCTTTCTCTCTCTCTTTCTCTCTCTCTCTCTCTCTCTCTTTCTCTCTGTCTCTCTCTTTCTCTCTGTCTCTCTCTCTCTCTCTCTGTCTCTCTCTCTCTCTCTCTCTCTCTCTCTTTCTGTGTCTTTTCTTCTCTTGTTAGAGCCCTACTTTGCTAGAGTAGCAGAAGCATTATCTAGGTTTTACAAAGCTTGTTGGAGCCTTTGCTATTGTCACAGGGCTGGTTGAATTGTGGTAGATTTTTGTCAGGAAAAGAACCAAATGTGGGAATTGTAGAGTTTTTGAGTGGATGTTAGGCTTCCCTTCCATGTTGATGTCCTCATGCCCACAGTGAAATCCTGCTGCACCTTCCCTTTCCTATGGTGTCTTCCTGATCTAGCCTCCTTGGACTTGTAGCTGGGCAGTGTCAAGAACATGAATGGTCAGCAATTTTATACCACTTGTAAACTAACAAGTTAATCTACCACATTCTTATGGGTGCTGTCGGAAGATGCAAATTCTTAGATCAAAAACAAAGGACTTTATTACCTACAGCAATAGCAATAGCAATAGCAATAGCAATAGCAATAGCAATAGCAATAGCAATAGCTTATCAGTTTTGCATCAGCCCCAGTTTCCAGTTGCAGTGGGTTGTGTTTTAGTAGAGAAGCCAAGAGCTTAGGGAATACAACTCTAATATCATGGGCAGCAATCACTCTGATTTATATAGGCTGCGATGAAATCTGTTTAGTTTGTCTCCTCAAGTATTTAATTAAGGCTGCTGGTCAGCCAGACTCCAAGCAGCACGTTGAAGCTGACATGCAGTATTGACCTCAGCCATGCCTTCAACCAGATCCTGTCAGCTGAACAAATTCTATAGACCATCCAGGTCTGCTTTAAAACACCGGGAGGCTTTCTTCTTAATTTTTTCTATTGATCTTTCTACTTGGCCTGAGATATTAATTCAGGTACACAATGATGTATTGCTGATTGCACGGACTTCCCCTTGTTCAGCAAAGAGGAAGTCTACAGCAATTCTTTTATCCATAACAATCTGGCCTGTGAGTTGATACTGAGCTCAGTGCCTTCCAGGGCTGATGTGGTGTCATTGATCATTTCAGCTAAAATCAGGGACACATTTCTTACCACCTTTTCTAATTGGGTGACGCTCATAAATAGTGCCTTTAGGGTGCACATAAATAGTGATCAGTTTTCACTCCAGGAGGCTTCCTAGAGTTAACCAAGGATAGCCTCCGTTTGGAAAGATCTTTATAGATCTTTTTAGTGTTTCCTTAAACACTTGAACATCTCTTATGATCACCTCTAAGGTGCAAGTCACAGTGGTTTTGGAGGAAGAGGCAGGTTAATGTCTGGCTTCCTCACATGGCGCACATTGTGCTCTGGAAGGAAAATGTTTATAATTGTTGGGGCCCCCCATTGGACCTTTATCAGTTGGGGGGCTATGGGTGACAGTGCTTTCAACATGGCTTCCCAGCTGGCTAATAAACTTTAGGATTCTGAGTTTTGGAAATAACGGAC